AATGCCCGTAGAGGGACAGTCTGCGAGCCGGGGCTGGTGTCGTGAAGTTCACTTGAGGCCACAACCCCCGCCCCCGTGATAAAATCGCACTCACTGAGATCCAGCCCCTTGGCACCCTTCCCTGCGATCTGGCGCCTGAGCTGAGATTGGTCAGAGGGGTGAGCGAAGTGACACAGGCGACAGCCACGTCTGTAAGGCCTTGGAAATCGTTGAGGCAAAGGTCCCTGAGGCCAGTGAGCTTGGCCGGCCTTGCCACACCCAAGTCAGAAAGGTGGCACGTGCTCGACACCAGGTGGGACCTGATGTGCAGCCTGGGGACCGACAAAAAAAACTCGTTGGTGAGTCTTTCAGGTTTTGCCAAAAAAAATGCAACTTTTAGATTTTTCAAGAAAATGCAATAATCACACACGCCATGTAAAGGACGTGACATATTTTACGGTGTTGTATTCAAGCAAAATTCTTTGATATGCAGAACTCTTACGCTGCCACGCCCAGCCATTCTCCACGTTGATTGTAATCACAGGGGTTGTTTCGGTTTGGATTTAATTCACCATGCTGATGTGTACATATGTGTTGGAACGTGCATGTTCACCTGATTGTGCATCTGTATTGGAGTGTATAGCCCTCCAGAAATAATGTAATTCAGCTCCAGTCAATCAGGAAGTCTGGAATATCTTGAAATTGTAGAGGGGAAGGCACAGAATACAGTACTGGGCACATGGCCTGCAACCCGTGCTATCAATGCACTGGATGGCCAATACATTGATATTGTCTTTCTTGCGTATTTCACCATAATTTTTTGTTTATGCATCTGCAGATACTATTGCATGGCATATGACTGAGAGGCACTGAATCCCACATGACAATCGGGTCTTCAGATGGACAAAGGGCTGAGGCTATTTCTGCCGATGCTGCTTTCTTGCTGTGCTCTTTCAAACAAATGCATTTCCTACATTCACATTATCTATTTTAATTGCGTAACGCATTACGCATTTGAAATGCTTACATCATTCACTTCATGCACATTTCCTACGATCTGTGACGCCTTCGTGTACACAGTACATTACCCTGAAGGGTCGTTGGACCATACCTGACGATCAAGAGGCAACTGGACAGGAGACTGATGGTTTCGTCCGTCAACCACTCTTTGCTGCAGTTCTCCAAATCGAGATGGGTCAACGGTGAGAATTTGCGCAGGGACTCCAGGCCACGCTCTTGTGCGTTCATTGGATAAAAGGATAATGACATGCACAGATTGGATTGCAATGTTGTGGACCCGTTTCGAGATCAAGCAGTTATAACCTTGATACATAATACCCTCTGGTGGAGCTTCATACGCTTGGGTACAAAATTGGATACACGATGCTGGATATCAATTGCCAGATATCGGATACCAGATCCCAGATGCGTGAAGCTGGATATTGGATGCTGGATACGCAATTCACATCCATATGCAACCTGAACAATACCCACCACCAAGTAGCAAAAGTGTGCATTTTGCCACTTATTTCATTTTTAGTGGATCAATCTTTTGGGCTCCACAATGCCTTGTGCTTTATCGCGATGCAGCTCAACGCCCATTTTTCCTCATTTAAGACAGGGCAACACATTCAAGAATGCAAAATTTTGGGAATTTTCCTGGTTGAATATATTATTGTTCTGACTACGATTGCCCTACTACACCGATATCTTTGGCACCAAAAAAGCGGCTGGCCTTGAAACACTGGGAAACCGAGGGACACAATAAGTATTGGGGTGTGCACAACGCGACAAACTACAGTCCCAAGAGCTTTGTCGAGATGCACCTTAGTCGCGGATTTGAGAATGCAAGTACGCAGTCAATCTCAGTCAACCACATCCCACAGGATGGTCTTCTAATCCCATTGTCCACAACTTAAAGTTTCCCAATGCTTTGTGCGTATCGCTTCACAAGTGATAGGATGCACCTTGGTGTCCACAGGTACCCTTGCACCCGCACTCTAAGAAGCCTGAGTGTAGATGTTGGGCAATGCATTGTTGCACGCATAAAATACTAAGAGCTGTGCAACAGTGCCCCAATGTATTGACACTGTACTTCTTACCTGCACTCTCAGGCGAGTGATTTTGCTCAACTCGGGTGCCAGGAGTTCAGCCATGTCCCGCACAGGCATCCCCTCTCCACCCCCACCCCCCCGGCATCAGCTGATGGGCCGCTTGCGTAGCCCGCCAGCACCCACTTCGCATGGGCATAAAGTATTGGGTCAGTTAAAGTGCTAGCACGTGCAGCCCAAGATGTGGAAAGAACCCCAATACAGTAGGGGTCCCTATACAGCACCCCCCCCGTGACATGGCCAAAAAGGGGCGCCATTGGGGCCGGGGGCGCTAAAAAATTTATCTGTCTAATGCAATTAACTGTAGTTTTAGTCATACAGTAGCTCTCCCCATCATAAGAAGACGCAAAACAGAACCATTAGCCGTGTAACGGCCTGTTGAGATTGTCAAATGCGTGTATCATGTGCCAGCACGCTGCAATAGCGGAACACCGTGTTTGTGGCTTGCATGTTACACGGTGCCTGACACAACTCATCACGTGAACTTGCATGACAATGCCCCGCATTATGAATGCTGATGGCGCCCAACCAGGCACGGGCGCATCATACTGCAGAGAACGGGGAATAACGCCCCCTGGCGTTGAGCATTTCTGCAAATGTCCGCAATGCGGGGATTGTATGGATAGAGCACCCCCGCGTTGTCCAGCGTTCCCCCCGTTTAATGCAACAGTTGAGGCGCAGCGGCCACCATCCAAGCAAATTGTGGGCCGTCGCCCAGGCCCCCACCGGGAGGTGATGCCGCAAGACACCACCTTGCGCACCAACCACACCCGCCGGTTAAGGCGAACCTGCGCAGTGCCATGAGTGCCCGTTCCATGGTCAACGCCGGTCAATGGCCCAGCACCAGACGTCCGCGATATGCCAAGTTTGCGGAAATGGTCGACCGCTGCGGCGTCCGTCCACCGTACACCTGTCTTGGGTGTCCACAATAGTAGTTTGAGGTCCCACTGCGCAGCGAAGCTGCATTAAGTACTACAGAAATGGTGACAAGCCAAAAAGGAGGCGCTATTGGGGGGCGCTAAGTGGGGAACCCTACTGTACTCCATCGCCATTGAGAAGAGACACATGTATATGGGCAAAACCCTGTTGTGACTGTCACAAAGGATCCAGGGTACTGCATCCTCGCACTTCGTCGTGGGCGTCCCCCTCAGGCCGTCGCCATCGATCAACCTCCGACACCTCAACGGGCGGCCACCCATCGGGCATCTGCGCCACCCCACCAAGGACGCCAAGCCCTTCCCCACCGGGCACCTCCCACCCGACCCCCAGCAGCTGTCAAACAACGAGCCACTCAGTTTTTCCGCCGTCCGGTGCCAATCGGCAAAAGGTGTTGTCGAAAACACACCTTCCGCGATGGCTTGGGCTTGCAAGCGGATGGGTTGCAATGGATGGGCACGGACAGCAAGCGGGCGCCGGAGGGCGGTGGCAGCTGGGAGCGGGGCCCACAAAGGGACCCCGGCTTGCTGTCGGGTGATCGGACAGCCGGGCCGCATGGGTGTTTGGAGATGGTAAGCTCGTGGGGATGTGGTGATCCGGGGGGCCAGGGGAGGCCTTGTACTCTGCATCCCTCTGCTGCGCTGCAGAGGGATCCTGGCATTCTTGCGCAGGAGGGGTTTGGGCGGGGGCTGTCCGTTGCTTGATGAGTTGTCCTCCTGTTGAGGAGATCCCTCGAGAGGAATGTGTGCGCCGAGTGCATCTACTGTTGGGGCAAGATTGTCTTTTCCGTCCTGCATCGCTTGCTGTAGTGGTGCGAGGATTCTGGAAAGCTCTTGCAGGTATTTCTCCTGGTGGAGAGGATCCTACCAGGGGCAGGTTTGCACCGAGTGGAAATACTCGGCACAGACACGTGCGATCGGGGTTGGCCGCTTGGCGGGGGTCGGAGCGCTGTGGTTGTCTCCTTGATAGCCCCAGCCTCGCAATGCCGCGTTGACCGTGCACGGATAGTTGACCGAGCGCACATTGACCAATCCCATCTGAAGCCGGCAGCTCGTCTTTTTCTTTCGAGACCAGTGCCCCCCTTCGACGGAGATTGCAGGAGGGCGGGGGCCGAGATTCCTTTTGCGTCTGCTCTCGAGGGTGGCGACTGATTCAGAAAGCATGCTGCTGCCTCTGCCAGCCAAACTGCACAAAGCCCAGATGGATCTCCTGAGCCTCGATCCCTCACCCCTGGCACGTGGCTCATGAGGTCACGGGGGCACGCCGCGACCACCCTGGAATGGCCCAGACCCTGCTCCATTCCTCATCCAGGGGTGCTGAACTGAAATTGTTGCACCAACAGAGCTGGCACATGCCCAAACAGGCCCTACAGACACCCGATGACAGTTTAGAAATGACACTTTATAAATGACTTTTGACACTTTAGGAATGCTGCAAAAGTGTCTGTGTGCAATTGGAAATGGTTTTGAAACTTGTTGGTTGTTGGTCCAGTGGGCTGTCTTATTTTCTCCCTGCGGTGCTCATAGGCATGATGACTATGCTGGCTCATTAGGTGTGAAACTTGGGGCTGGGAATGTAGTGGAAATGTGGACATGCAGGACAAAGATATGCTTCCATTGGCATTGAAAATCCCGTTTGCCTGTCCAACAAGAATGACAAGATCAGACCCCTCTTTTCAGCAATGGAGCCCTGTACTTCTATTGACAAATTGATGAGAATGTGAATATATCAACTGATGACACCTCCCCCCTCTTCGTATTGCCGATGCTACGATGGGAGATGATGGCAGTGTTGGACAGTGCATTCAATGCAGTGGCAGCATCAATACTGTGGTGATGCTGCTGGCATAGATTGTTGCAATGGTTGCTAGTTCACAACAATCCATACTCTATTGCACTTTCCATCGCATGTACTTTAGATACATAAAATCGACCCTGCACCTGGGCGCCTAGGAGTGGACGTTCCACAGTGCACATGCAGAAGCAACACGCCTCTGAGGCGGGCAATGGATCATCCACGACCCAGGCTCCTGAAGACAAAGCGCCAAAAGAGGCAGTGGCTGGGAGCCAGCCTGACCCAAGGGCCATCATGCAGATCGGATTGGGTTTCATGAGCTCCAGGGTGCTGCAAGTGGCGGTAGGGCTGGAACTGTTTACTGTGCTTGGTGATGGGTCCATGACTGCAGAGCAGCTTGGTGACGCTCTAGAGCTGCACCCTCGAGGCACGTACGATTTTTTCGATACACTTGTTGCACTGAAACTGCTCGATCGGGATGGGGACGGTGCGGAGGGACGGTACAAGAACACACCATCGACGGCAGTGTTCTTGGACAAGAAGAGCCCGCAGTACATTGGCAGCATGCTGGAGATGGTGAATGCTAAGTTGTACAACGACTGGAGCAACCTTGAAGCTGGGCTCAAGACTGGACAGCCGCAAACCAGGAAGGGCGGTTCGGTGTACGATGAGCTTGGATCGACCAGCGATTCCCTGGCCCGGTACCTTGACGCAATCGACAGCATCCAGGCTGGCAATTTCCTTCAATTTGCAGCGAAATTCGATCCTCAGGGCTACAAGACTGTGACCGATGCTGGCTGCGGGTCGGCGCTGTTTGCCGTTATTGTGGGCAGGCAGCATCCGCAGCTCAGCTTCAATGCATTCGACCTCCCCTCCGTGACCCCCGAAACTCAAAGACGCATCGATGCTGCCAGCATGACCGATCGTGTAACTGTGCACTCTGGCGATTTCTTTGTCGACGACCTCCCCAAGGCGGACGTCGTCTTCATGGGCCAAGTCCTGCACAACTGGAACTTGGAGAAGAAGTTGGTCCTAATTAGGAAAGCTTACGATGCGCTGCCAGCAGGGGGAGCTTTTGTGGTCATTGAAAACGTCCTTGATGATGCGAGGCGAGAGAACACTGTTGGCCTGCTGGTGTCGCTCCTCATGATTCTGGAATTTGGCGATGGGTTCGATTTCACAGGCGAGGAATTCAAGGGGTGGTGCAGCAAGGTTGGGTTCAGGCGTTTTGACACAATACCACTTGGGGGACCCTCCAGCGCGCTCGTTGCTTACAAGTAGAAACATAGTACTGTGCTTCTACACTACTGGACAAGTAGTACAGTTTGTCAATAGGGTGCGACTGGGAAACTCGTTGACCATGTGGCATCAAGAGGCAAACTCTGAGGCTGCATGCCATACACTGGCTTTGTATAGGATATCATGTATTGGGAAGTTTTCAATTGGAAGGGGCATTATTTGTTCTAGTATGATCTGGTTGGCACATGGCACAAGCCTGTCCTGGATTCTTCTTCCTCGTTTCTTGCTATCTGCAGATGTATTGCTGTGGTGCCAAGGGGGCTGTCCAAGCAGTTCTTCCATTGACAAAGTCAACAGACGAACGAAGCACTTGTGTAAGATTCATCTGAACTTTTGCACTTTGTTTGGACACTGCGGCCATCCTCCTTTGACCTGCCGTTGGGCGGGGATAGAATTGCCAATCGGCAATTGCCGCTAGAAGCCCTCATGAGGGCCCTGAGAAACTCAAGGCTCATCGGGGGCCTTCATGAGGGCACTGAGGGGCCCAAGGCTCATGAAAGTCCTGATTTGGGCTCTGGCTAATTGCCTGCACACAGAGCTATGTGGGGAAAGCGCTGCGTTTCTGGTGGGATGGGCTTGCTGAAGATGTCCCACACCACAGATCCGAGCATGTGCAATAGCCGAATGTTTCGCTGGCAAAGGGAATGGTTGGGCACAAACGTTGGGCTTACACTCCGGCATGTGTGCATTCTAAGTTCATCGTCAGCAACATGATTCCGGTGTCCCAGATGCTGTAAAGATCGATTGGATTTGTGAAGTGCATTTTCAGGCAATGCCCGAGTCACGGCTTGGCGAGGCGAGGCGCGGCATGGTGAGGAATGCTTGCACAGGGAAGAAAGTGCCAACGAAGTTGAAACGGCCCAGAACATGGCGCAGGGGGCACCGCCTCGGGCACCCAGATGACTGTAGTTAGTGCACCGTGACGCCCAACGCCAAGTTTCAAACCAAAAAACGAGAAGCGGGAACTGAAAACAGAAAGCAACTCAAAAACCACCAAACATGAGAACTGATTTCAGTGCCCCGAAGAAGTGAAACTAAAGAGCACAGGGACTTCAGCCAGAGGGAGTGGCGTTCGCCAGTGTGGACTCTGACGGGTTGTGCACAAGCGTTGCCGCACATACGTCATCCCCGGTACGGGCGCTGCCCCGCAGCATTTCTGAATCTCCCCCCCCCCGTGCCGGCCCACAGCAGGGCCCCTTTGAGTTGCTCGGACGGCCTCTGCCGCGGTGAGAGCGATCTCGACCCCGCAGATCGTGAGTTTTCGACGGGGATTTCAATGCCAGGGGGCGGGAGATCGGATGGAAGTGGCGGATCTGATGAGAGGGGTGGGGCGGCGGCGGCTGTAGGGACGACAGGAGGTGTGCCGACCTGTCCCAGGTGGGCGGGCGGGGGGCCTCACCCCGAGATTGCCTGGCATTCGAGGCTGGGTGATTTCTTTCTCGGGGTTGAAGCTACAGGAGTTGAACTTTCATGGCCATGCATAAGCAGGGTGATACAAGGGCAAGGGCAATCATGGCCGGAGGAGAGTTTGGCCTCCAGGGGATGGTCGCAGAGGGGGGGAGAGCTGATCTGGAGGATCTGGTGGATCTGGTGGATCTTTCGGCGCTATGGATAGGGTCGTTGTCGCGATGGTCGTTGTTCAGGGGGATTGTGGCCGGGGGGCTGTTGCGCCGGCTGCAAATGCCCTCGCTTGCGCGCTGAGTGCTTCCTTGGGGTGTGCGAGTGCCACAACGTATTGTTCTGACATTATCTCCGGTGGGCAACATAAAATCATGACTGTACAACATCTGACTGTGCAAATCATGACTGTAGAACATCTGACAGTACAAATCATGACTTGCTTGACGATGAGCACACGAAAAAGAACCGCCTCATTTTGGCATTGTGAGTATCTACATATTCTCCTAGCTGTCATCTGGCATCGTGCAGCCCCTGAAATTTGGGTTTGCCAGAAATGCTGCCTTGGTCGTTAGGCTCAGGCCTATGGGGGATGGCCATCCTGGCCTCCGAAGCTACCTAGCAAGCTCAGCAATAATTTTGACAGCCTTAACCAGGATCAAGAAGGTGGTGCCACCTTTGCAGACACTCCCATTGCACATAAAGATGCTTGTTGAAGAGCCACTTCAGTCTTCCCTTCCGCTGTGTCTTTGCTCAAACTTTGCTCAAAATGTGCCCAAGCTGCCTGTGGCTGTGCCCTTCCATTGATTAAATTGATGCGGTTCAATTTGACAGAGTCAACTGGCCTTATTTACTGCCTGGCCTAAATGAATGACCTTGAGGTGGACCATCAACTGTACACAGATCCTGTCCTGTGTCGATGTGTGATTCTGGCTCCAGAATTCTCAGACCAGAATTGCCCATTATGTATTCAGCTCAAAATCTTACTCAGAGCTCTGAAGATGTTATCCCTGGAGTTGGGCCATTGTGCCCTCAACTCCCACTTGCCGATTTTGTAACCTTGGAAGTGAGATTCACTTTTTCCACGTTTTACAAGTTGACGCAACTGGTGCAGTCACTTGACCACGGGTGCACGGACCCCAGCACATGGATGGGAGCGGCGAGCCATAGGAGTCATGGGCCATGCAGCTGCTGCTGAACGACCCCAGATGGCACAAGCAAAGGGGGCTGCCACTCTGGGTCAACCTGACCCAGGGTACATCATGCGGATCGGATTGGGTTTCATGGGGTCCAGGGTGCTGCAAGTCGCAGTGGGCCTGGACCTATTTACAGTGCTTGGTGACAGGTCCATGACTGCACAGCAGATGGGCCAGGCACTGGGGCTACACCCTCGAGGCCAATACGATTTTTTTGATGCGCTTGTGGCGCTGAAGCTCCTTGATCGAGAAGGAGATGGCCCAGAGGGACGGTACAGGAACATGCCGTCAACAGCGGTGTTCCTGGATAGGAGGAGCCCGATGTGCATTGGTGGAATGATCAACATGCTGAATAACAGGGAGTACAATATCTGGGGAAAACTCTTGAGCGGGTTGAAGACTGGGATGTCGCAGGGTGCCAAAGGTCAGTCGATTTTCGACGAATTGGAATCCAGCGAAGCACAAATGGAGTTCCTTGAGGCCATGAATGGCGTTCAAAATGCCAATTTCCATACGCTCGCTCAAAAGTTCGACTTCCAGCGGTACAAGACAGTTTGCGACGTTGGCTGCGGATTGGCACTGCTGGCCATCATTGTGGGCGGGCATCACAAGCACCTAAGCTTCCATGTACTCGACCTTCCTGCTGTGACTCCCCACACCCAGAGGCGCATTGACGCTGCAGGCATGGCGGATCGGGCCACAGTGCAGGCAGGCGACTTTTTTGTCAGTCACCTCCCAAATGTGGACATCGTTTTCATGGGAAATGTCCTGCACGATTGGGACCTAGAGAAGAAGATGGTCCTAATTAGGAAAGCCTACGATGCACTTCCAGAAGGCGGTGCCTTTGTGGTTGTGGAAGACGTCATTGATAATGGGAGAAGGAAGAATGTGTTTGGCCTACTAATGTCGCTCAACATGTTGGTGGAAACAGGAGATGGTTTCAATTTCACAATGGCAGATTTTCAGCGGTGGTGTTGCGACGTTGGGTTTGGGCGTTTTGATGCAATACCACTGGTAGGGTCTTCCACAGCCTTGGTTGCTTACAAATAGGGCAGTTGCAACGTGCTGCAATGCTTTGCGTCCTTAAATGCTGCAGTAGTGGCACGTCGATTTGAAGGGGAGTGGTTTCTGGAGTGGGTGGCCTCAAGGAATATGCAGGTGAATTGAGGGCTGTATAAAGCCTGTGGACAACAAGATTGGCAAGGGGGTGTGGTCGTTGTGAAACGCTGGTTGACCGCTTTTTAAAGCAGGTGGGGCTTGCTGCATGGGAAGTATAGAGTACCTCTTGGGGCAAGTGTAGGACTTGTTTTGTACATTAGCTGTATACATACCTGGCGTTGTTTACAGGCCTCGTATTTGACGACCCAAATACCTCGGCGTTGGGCTCCGTCACCGTCTCTGTCCTGCTGATTGTCTCCTTGGTCGTGGTGTCTGCTTGTCTCACAATGCGATCGGCTCCGGAATTGGCTGAGGGAATCGGTAGTTTTCTGGCACGCAAGGGCGTTGAAGTTGACAAATATGCTGGGCCGACAACGAACGCCTGCCTGGCGTTTGCCTTTTGCTGCTGGTCACGGCCGCCAGGGCATTTGGGGCGCTGCCTCGGTTTCTGCTTGGCGTTTTTCAAGCATGAGTTCAGCAAAGGAGCCCGAGATTGCGGCCAAAAAGAGGCGGCGGTGGCAGAATTGACATGAATGTGGCAGAAGATTGCTTGAAGTTCCCTTGTGTGGCCAACTAATTTGGATGACGGTCGAAGTCGTTACATTTGCACTTGTGCCAGCATTGTTCTCTCTTGAAGTGCATGGTGGATCGCTCGTTTGTGTCAGTGCTTCGGAATTTGCTGTTCATTTTGTGAACAGGCAAGGCATCATTGAAAGGACACAAAGGAATGTCTACTCATAATTCAAGCAAAGTGTCCCTTAGACTAGCAACCTCCGAAACATCGGAAACGAGACTGCCAGGGTGTGCGACTTTCTCAACGGTAAAATGCGGCGTATATGCTGTGCACAAGGAACTTCATTTCCATTCAACCATCTGGGGCGTAAATAAACTACGCATACTGCGTGTCTCGTTTGGGCCTCGTATTCTGTGTGCAAGTCTTTGATATGGTGCCCATGATAAGGCATTGTACCTGCTATGCACAACCAGCAGATGCGGCTTTTATATAAAAGCCATATATGGCGTCGCCGACCAAAACATTTTCCTTGCTCGGATATCCTGCCTTGTGGAAGCGAAGGCCAGTTTTCACTCGAATGCGCATTTTCACCGGACGATCCAATCAGGCGCTCGGTCCAGAGTGTGGTGGCCACCTGCGTCTTGCCCTTCGCTGTCATGACAATTTTCGCCGTTTTGTCCCCCCTTCATGCCGCCATGAAATACAAGCCTTGGGAATGCGTGTTCCGCGTATACCCTTCATCCGCAACGGCAGTGCTGTACTGAGAGCGCCCTGACTGTTCCTGGGTGCACCGAAGTCAGTGCCGACGAAGCGGAAGTTCCCCGGCGCGCCATCGCTCTCTCCAATTACTTGGTGGAGGTCGCCGACGTGTAGTGTTATGTGGGAACCCATTTGGCGACAGTGACTGCACCAGCCAGTCCCCTTCTCTTTTCCGTCATCCTGGGGATGCCGCTGCGGCTGCTGATCACTTGGATCTGGCACACAAACGCGCAAAGACGGGAACCTTGGCCAGCACCTACGGGTCCCTCTACCTGTCCTACATCGAGGACTTCAGATATTAGGAGGCGGTCATCATGGCTCGAAGGAGGTTTTTGCCCGCCATTGTGTTTTCAGGCTGTCCTTTGGGCCAGTTCTGCAGGCCGCCCTGGCGCTGGCCGTGCTGGCAGCGGCTTGGGTCACCCATTCTTAGGTGCCCCCATTCGTCGCCGAGGAAGCCAACCTGAACCTCTTGGAGTCCCTCTTCCAGGGGTGCTCCTGCCTGGCCTTCTCCGCCGGCCCCATCTTCAACGACCCCAACCACCTCAGCGCCTGGGGCGGTTGCCATCTCTGTCGCCTTCCCCGCTTCCGTGGCTGTGTTTGTGTGCTTTGTGGCGGGGCTGGCTGCTGAGGTGGCTGAGTGGATAGACAGCTTCCGGGATATGAATGGCATTCCCATCACCGACAACGCCACTACCTGGCCAAGCTCTATGCCATCGTTTGCTTCAGGTTGGCTGCCCGCAGCAAGACGGCTGTCGACGCTTCCCGGAGGCGCGCCTGCAAGACCCCATGGGCGAAGCAGTCGGCAAAACGCGCACCAGTAGAAGGCGATGTGAAATTGACGTAATCGTGGATTGATGTACACGAATGAGATGTCGTAGTAGGTGATGTTGGAGCGAAAATGACAGGTGCAGAAAAAATATTTAGCCTATAGATTGAAAGGTTCACATCGCTTTGACTCATCGTGTGAGTGATCGATGCTTTCGTTGCGGAGCCACATACTGGCTATAAGTACAGACCTGAAGTGCTGCTAATTCTTGATAGCGCAGGCTTGGAGGATTTGTTTTGAGTCCCGTGTTTCAGTATTTGGATCCAACGACTACATGAGCTCTGACGACAACGCAGATCACAAAATCTTGTAGTTCAAACTGCATAACGCAGCACGACGATGAAAGCAAGTCTTGCTCTCTGGCGGCTGTTGACTTCACTCCTTGCATTTCAATCAAGGGCAATATGGTGACGGGGAAAGTAGGCTGGAACAGGAAGAAGAATGTCGCCTTTGCGCTCGCACAACAGGAAAGGCCCGGCAGTCGGGCATTCATGTGTTGAGCCACCGATCTGTCTCTCAGCTGGCAAATCAGCAGTTAATAAGCAATCTCATATCCTGGATATCGAATGTGGCATGGACACCGGACACGGAAATGGTGCGATGGCATGAGAATTTCAAGGATTTGATCATATCCAGGATGGACACCTATGCTTCGAATACATCCAGATGTAGATACGCATATCCAGAGCTCTGGATATGCTCGAGCATGGCGCCCGTATTCGGCATAGCTTTATCGAGTTATGCACATCGATATGCATACCAAATTTTGTTAATTAATTTTCATTTAATTTTATTAGGTGCTTTAAAGCAAATTTGCAAAACGGGCACAGCCTTTGCGTGTTTCTACACACAAAAGAGCTGGATTTGGATGCCTGCCTGCACAACAGAACGTATTTGACAATCTATGCCAAGCACTAATGACATCTCCAGTGGTAGCTATACTGTGTCCCGACAAGGATTTTCTGTCGCATACTGACGCATCAGATGCATGCTTGGGGCCGGAGCTTAGCCAGCTAGGATCAGATGGGTTACCACAACCTGTGTATTACTCGAGCCAAGCGCTGACAAAGGTAGAGAAGAATTGAAGCATGACTAAAAATAACTTGTTGGCTGTTGTTGTTGATTTTAAGAAGCTGAGACATTGTGCGCTGGGGCAGCACACCATTGTATACACAGACCATGCTCCCTTGAAGGGATTGCTGAAACATCCCGAAGTGGCATCATCAAGGGTAGCACGATCCTGGCATAGTATGACTTTGAGATTGTCTACCTCCCTGGGAAGTTGAATAAAAATGTTGATGCTCTCTCCCGATTGCCTGCGATTCAGGAGAAAGAAGATACAGTCAATGAAGATCTGGATATGGTGATTGTGGTGCCTGGCAGTGACGAATGGTATGATTGCACACAGAATTATGTCGCAACTGGAGAGTTTCGACCAGAGATACCAGAAAAAATCAGCAGCTCATCCAGTGCCGGGCTGACCGTTTTGCAGTTATGCATGGGAAGCTTTACCACATGAATTCTGTGTGAGATCTGCAACTTGTGCTATGTCAAGAGGATAGAAGGTATGTTGTCAGTGGCGCTGATGATGGTGCTGGCCATTATGGTGCAAGCATGACACTGGCGCAATTGATGAGGACGTACTGGTGGCCTACTATGGCAAGAGTCGTTAGTGGAAATACCAAATCCTCTGCAGCAAGTCAAAAGCACGGACCTACTGAAAACAATGTTCTGAGAAACAAAATTCCACCAACATGCATGTTGGTGAGTCTCCATATGGAGACTATCTCTATCACGTGCTCGATTGGGGCACTTAAGTGCTGGGATCAAGTATGTGACAATCTTATGGCAAAAATTTATGGCGTGCAACAAGTCGTGCGGACCATAAATTGGCCATAAATTTATAGCTTCATCATGTTCAACGACCCCACCACCTCCGTCTCAGCGTCGGCCCTCATCTCTACCGCCGTGGTCACCTGCATCGTGGGAATGTTGATCTACTTTGCGGCCTAGCTAATCAGGGAGTTGATGAAGGAAATCGACCGCCTGCTGCGCACAGAGGATGCGTTAGTAGGGCCGGATATGGGCGCATTGAAAATTGCGGCTATCCATGAAATTTCCTTGCGATTCTTGCATCTTTGGAATGGCAAAGGGCACCTCACGCTCCCTCCAGGCCATAGGCACGGGTCGCTTCGTTGGAGGTTGCAACATAGCAGACGCAGAAATTCAAATGCACTAAAGCAAAAGTGAAAAACCCACTGCCAAGGACATCAATGCGCGATTGGTTCCAAAACAATTTGCAATGAAGAGGTGGATTTGCAATGAAGAGGTGGATGCCCAATGCATGAAATGCTGTCTATTGTGAGATGGCAAGTGTCAGGGCAGCAATGTTCTGGTGCGCATTCCATTGAGAGGTTTTGAGGCCGTGCTGCAGCGCTGCTGCTCTGCAGAGCTTTGACATGCGGTTAATTCCATGATCAGGCGCCCAAATATCGGACACTTGCGGCCGACGCCGTACAAGCGGTTTCCACAGGAAACAACCCATTCCTTGTTGGCCGCCGCAGCATAGGCGGGGCCCAAACTCCGGGACACTGTGCCATGGCGGTGCATGCCATGCACTGGGAAAAAGGGGCCAAATAACACTTTTGCGAGCACACATAAAACGCATTTCATCAAAGCTCTGCACGCTAAGAACACAAAAATAAGACAAACCCGTAAACTTTGTACACGTTTGAACACGTGTTGTTTTGCCCTTTTTTCCTAGTGATGTAGACTGCCGTGATTGGGGCCTGA